TTTTGGAGTCAAAATCAGGGAATTTGAGCCTGGCATCAGCGTTTGAGAAGCAATAGGGACGAGTTGAGAAGCATTTTAGAGTTGATTAGGAGCATTGGAGACCAGTGAGGTGTTAAAGACGAAGTTTTGAAGACAAAAGAGCTCTAGAATTGGCTACGGGATCAAAAGAAGACGAATAGAGCTTGAAAACAACGGTCAGGATGACGTTCTGTCAATCGTTCAAGCATATCTTTTCTTAGGAACATCCAAAGAACATGATTCAGGTTTCATATGAAAGCCAACTTCAAGCGCTACAAATCATATGAAGATATCATTGTGAGAATCTGAGAGAAGCAAGGTGAAAACAGACGATGAAATCAGATAATCTCTGTTGAGATTTCAAATTGCGACCTTCCACCATTTTATTCATATATTTTGATTGGATGATTCAAATCCAGTTTTGCAAGTTGTATTGGATAGAAGACTTCATTAGCTACAACTTTGATGAAGAAAGGATAGTCAAAATTGAACTATGAAGCTGATTTCTGCTTGCAGTTGCCGCTTGGTGTATTGGCGGTCTGCGAATAACACCTAATATTAATACCGGAGTAGAATTTTTTGGAGACCCCCTTGACAGTTGAGGCCCAAGGCAGTTGCCTGACCCAACTGCCCTCAAAGCCGCCCCTATATGTGTGTGCATATTCAGAGAGAGGTTAACGGGCGAGTTCATAAAATTCACTTTTATTTTCCATATCACCGATACTTTTATTTAGATTTATTTTTAATCTCAGATTAGATCCTCTTCGTCCCCTGATCACATATATAAAAGATAATCCAATACTGAGCGAAACTTTTCACTGAACAAATGAGAGTTTCAAGGCAATTACCCTTGATAACAACTAAATTAGACATCTCAAACCTACCACGAACACAGAAAAGTTCATGAGCCAGATAAATTATCTACAACAACATCCAAACCTTAGTCCCAGATAACCTGTCTAACGAAAGAAAAATAAAACTTGAAATATAAATAAAGTAAACTTGAATCTTTTTTCCAAACCGCCCTAGACACACGTTCACTCCATGGCTGTGGTTCAGGAGGAAGCCGGTTCATCAGTTCCGCCTCTGTCCTCAGCTCCCTACCCCAACCTTGTGGCTCACGATTGCTCCTTGGTCCACTCAGCCCCTCAACTGCAGCGACGCCGCAAAAGCCTACCTTCATGTTTGCAGCTTCACGCCCTCTCGCAGAGGGAACCAGTCCACCAACTGAGCTCCGCCTCAACCCTGCATCCTTCGATCCTCTTCCATTCTTCCCTTTCGTTGCAATCGCGAGAAGAAAACAACCGATCAAAACCTAGTCACGCCGACGGAATAGATCGTGGCACCAAAACCCTGTCGCAGACAAGCTGCACCTTCCGCCAATCAAAAAATTTTGCCCGGCTTTGCTTCGTACTCGTCACTGTTCATGTGATTAAGTCCCTGAAAACCACAAATTAGCCAAACAATTTGAAACAATTAAAGCCAAGGCCGCACAATGGGATTCGGTGGATGAAAAGTGCCGCACGATTGGACCGACGGATGAAATTACGTCTTGAAAGGTGCCGCACGATTTAAAAAAGGGACAAGGTCTCGAACTTACAAAAAATGTCAAATAAAGTCATATTTAGGATGCTCTGTACGTTCGATGCCATTTGGAGTGATTCCCGATTAAATTTTTTGAGCATCATATTCATTAAGTCTAGTTTACTCATATCAAATTTGAACTAAAAATTCAATCGGGAAGGCATTCAAATGAATTCTTGAACATAACTGCGCAGTTAAAAGCGCAGTTATCTTCAAGAATTTATTTGAATGTCTTCAAGATTGAATTTTTAGTTCAAATTTGGTATGACTAAACTAGACTTAATGAATAAGATTCTTAAAAAAATCATCAAAAAATTCCATCGGAAACCGCCCCAAATGGCGTCGGCCGGAGAGATCATCTTATATAAGACCTTATTTGACATCTTTTTGTAAGTTCGAGACTCTATCTGACCTTTATCCCTTTTAAAAACAAATGGATTCCCGCTCAGGCTTCGCCTGAACTTACGTCTTTTAAAAAATTGCTCCGTAATAGTATTAGCCAGCCCATGTGCAAAAAGATTGAGAAAGGAAGAATCGGCCTATGTTCAAAAGTATTAGATCGATCGTCCCATCCCAAATCCTTAGTCCCAAAAAATTATTTAATTATGTAATTAAAGTAATTATGTTTAATAATTTGATTGAATTTTGTCAATATTATCATCTTTATTTATATTTCATATATCCTCCATCTCATAAAATTATTCTCATTTACCATTTTAGGATGTCCCAAAATATTATTCTCATTCTTTTTTTTGATAAGTTTTGTGTGACTTACATTCATTTACATTTTTTATTCTACCACAACCATACATTTCCACTTTACTCTCATTTTATTCAACTTCGATCCAAGTCAAAGCGGGACGAATTTTATGTGGCGAAGGGAGTATCTATTTGTGTGGGAAAGAGAGGCCAATTTTTTTTGTTGCACAGCGCCTCCATTTTGTCAGGACTGGCCCTGATGTAGCGTTGGACACTATCCTAGTTTTAAATCAAAATTCTGACCGTATGTAGTACAAAAATAACTTGAATTCTAATCCAAAACCAGAAATGGTACCAGGATGATTCAAATCTAATTCATATGAAGTATTATGTTTTTCTTTCAAGGAACTGATTATTATTATTTAGAATTGTTTTAATGGGTTAAAACTAGACCTATTGTACATATATCTAAATCATTTGAAACTGACATTGAATAACTTGTTTTTATTTAAAAAAATTGTCTATACATTGAATAGATTAGTCTCACACCCACCTCGGCCCATCTCTGTTCATACAGTAATGCCCCTGCTTGAGAAAAGTTCTAAGTCTGCCACTGGGCACGAGCTATTTGGCACGAAAAATCGGTAAATCCGTGTTAAATTCCGTGTCAATCCCGTATTTTTTTGTAGTGGTATATAGATATATTCTATTTTTATCTGTCTCATTAGAAGATTCCAACTTTCTTTTTTGAACGTCCCATATAAAGAGAGGCGGACCCACCAAGGATTCCACGGGGTCCCGGAACCCCGTGCACCTCGAAAAAAATACCTATATATATTATATATATTATATAAAATTAATTATTCAATGTATATTTACACAAAAAACAACATTAGAATCAAAAGAACGAAGCAATGCAGCGGTGACGAGTGCTCATTCAAAGTATGAGGTTGTGGGTTCGAAACTTGACATCTTCCATTTATTCCTTTTTTTTAGTGCTGGACTTGAACAATGTATTCAAATTTTAAACAAAAACTTCAACTTGGTGCATTTAGCTCATTGGTTTAGTATGTCCTTCTTTGTTCAAATGACCTAGTGCTTGAATCCCATTTTCACCTTTCTCAATTTTTGCTATTTTTTCCAATTTACTCCTTATTTTCTTTGAAGGAAATTTCGCTTTTGTTATCCTCCAACTTGAACTTTTATTTTCTTCATTTCTTCACGCTAAATGTATCTAAATAACATCAAATGTACCAGAAAATACAAAATACACGCATAGGACTGCACTAATACAAATTAACGACAAATAATAAAAATATGTACAAAAGTACAACTTTAATAACTAAAATTATCAACAGACTAAGCCTAAAAAGTGTGTAAAATATAATTCAGCACATCAGTCGCCTAGGTTTTTTTTCTCTACTGTTTTTCTTTGCATATCTTTTTTTAATGTTAGATTAAATTAATAAATTCATGTATTTACAAATGTTATTTTCAATTTTATACGATTTAGGATGAAAAGATATTTTGATGGTGTACCCAATTTTAAAGAAACCTAGAGTACCAGGAGTAGTTCAGGTGTTAATTCAAATGATTCCCCCCCATTAGTAAATGAAGAATTGGATCAATTTTTTTATTAGTTTTATACTTGTATTAATTAGAGATTAAAGATATAAAAGGGTAGGGACCCCGTGGCTCTGACTTTCTGGGTCCGCCACTGCTGATATAAAGGTTGTCATTTCCATTTTAGGAAACAATTAACAATCCTAAGTGACAAATTAATCAATAAATATTAAAAATAATACATTTATAACATCACATTTTTTAATACTAACTACATTATAATATATACCTATTAAAATAGGGATAAATACCTCAATATTACTAAAACTCAAGACTTTTCCTAAAATATGACTATACATGTTTTTGTATGTAATATATAACCAAACACATACATGGGTTGGTTACCATACTTAACTCATTCCTTATTGATAGTGCCGTTACCACTCATGGAGCATGACATTAGGATGTTAGATTAGGAATAAAACTAGTGGAGTGATATATTGGGAAAGATATATTGTTTTAGAAATATTAGTGATAATTATCTCATTAAAATATCCACAAAGTACTTTATTTAATAATTATCTAAATAACCGTGTCGTTTTGCTATGAGAACCTTCCAACGGGACGGAAGTAGTATATAAGTAAAAATGACTAACTAAAAAAGGACAAATAGAGTATACAGAGTATATTACTCCGTGTTATATCTATTATTATTAATAATATTAATATTATTGTTGTTGGTATTTTTATTATTTTATTATTAATAGTTTACCGGTGGGCGTAGCTCAACAGGTAGCAAGGGAGTGCCACAAGGGTTAGGTCCCGGGTTTGAATCCCGGCAACTGCGATGAGAGGTTATTATGCTGAAAATGCATAGGGCCTCTGCAAGTACCAGGGACGGAGCCCCACTCTCTATCTGTTAGATTGTGATTATAGTCCAATTTACATCCTCCCAACGTACCGTCCGATCATGGTTGGGGGCCCTTAGGGATGGGGTGTCATCCCTTTTTTACTCAGTTTTACTCCGTATTTATTATTCAAAAATGCGTTGTGTACACGGCGGCTTACACGCCCGTGTACACAGCATATAACCCCCTTTATTTTTACCCCTTCCCACCCCGCTGCTTTCTCCCTCTCTTTCCTTCCGCTCTCAAGCGCCTTTTCTCTTCTTCTTCACAAACTTCACGCCTTTCCTCCCTCCACCCCTCTTCTTCTTCCTTTCTTTGTTGTTTTCATTTTTCTTCAACTCCCCTCCTCCAAATCCATATTTTTAGAGAAATATTCGTCCTGGAAAACCCAACAAGCTGTCCAAATCGGTTCAACAAATGACCTCTTTAAAATACACTTTCGACTGTGAAATAAACGACCGCGAGAGAAGGAATTAGGACGAATGACAAGATTACGGACTCAATGCCCAGTTCTTTTTTTTTGAACCACATTTTTATCTCAAGACATTGAGGTAATAATTTATTCCAGATTTTTGTGCATTTAGGGTTATATGTTTTCCCTTTTTTTAATTTTATTTATACAAAATATGTTGTGGTGATGTTGAAAAATGTTTATTACAATGTAATATCAGTTGTAATATCAGTATGGATTTGTTATGATTTAAAATTTTATTCAACTGTTATAATTAACTTTTATGCCTATTAAGTGTTTGTTGAAATGTTTCAATGAGATGTAACTTTGTATAATTGATTTTTAGTTTTAATTCAGCTTATGGTTTTACTGAGATGTCTGTGTAGTTTGTTGTTATAAAGTTGTACGTAGCAGAGTTGTCTTTATGGTTTTCCAGAGATGTCTGTGTAGTGTGTTCTTATATATTTGTGCATTTTTTAGTTGTCTATATAGTTTTACTGAGATGTCTGTGTAGTTTGTTGTTATACGTTTGTGGATTTTATAGTTGTCTTTATGGTTTTCCTGAGATGTCTGTGTAGTGTGTTGTTATATGTTTGTGCATTTTTTAGTTGTCTATATGGTTTTCCTTAGATGTCTTTGTAGTTTGTTGTTATACGTTTGTGCTTTTTTGAAGTGTCTATATGGTTTTCCTGAGATGTTTGTGTAGTGTGATGTTATACGTTTATACACATGCAATTCTCTGCTCAGCTGATCCATTTGTTGTTATTGCGCCTTGTGTGTGACCAGCCTGAGGATGAAATATGGTTTGATGTGAAGTTGGCTTCTTTGTTTTTGGAGCGTGTGAAGTTGGGTTCTTTGTTTCTGGTCCATTGCTGTCTGCTAGCCAGGGATCAGCCAACAAGAATCCATCCGGATTATTTGCGGCTAGTGGATGACTTCAAGTTGTTTAAGTCTTGCCCGTGGTCACTGGAGTCATATAAGGACTGTGTAGTGTGTTGTTATATGTTTGTGCATTTTTTAGTTGTCTATATGGTTTTCCTTAGATGTCTTTGTAGTTTGTTGTTATACGTTTGTGCTTTTTTGAAGTGTCTATATGGTTTTCCTGAGATGTTTGTGTAGTGTGATGTTATACGTTTATACACATGCAATTCTCTGCTCAGCTGATCCATTTGTTGTTATTGCGCCTTGTGCGTGACCAGCCTGAGGATGAAATATGGTTTGATGTGAAGTTGGCTTCTTTGTTTTTGGAGCGTGTGAAGTTGGGTTCTTTGTTTTTGGTCCATTGCTGTATGCTAGCCAGGGATCAGCCAACAAGAATCCATCCGAATTATTTGCGGCTAGTAGATGACTTCAAGCTGTTTAAGTCTTGTCCGTGGTCACTGGAGTCATATAAGGACTGTGTAGTGTGTTGTTATATGTTTGTGCATTTTTTAGTTGTCTATATGGTTTTCCTTAGATGTCTTTGTAGTTTGTTGTTATACGTTTGTGCTTTTTTGAAGTGTCTATATGGTTTTCCTGAGATGTTTGTGTAGTGTGATGTTATACGTTTATACACATGCAATTCTCTGCTCAGCTCATCCATTTGTTGTTATTGCGCCTTGTGTGTGACCAGCCTGAGGATGAAATATGGTTTGATGTGAAGTTGGCTTCTTTGTTTTTGGAGCGTGTGAAGTTGGGTTCTTTGTTTTTGGTCCATTGTTGTCTGCTAGCCAGGGATCAGCCAACAAGAATCCATCCGGATTATTTGCGGCTAGTGGATGACTTCAAGCTGTTTAAGTCTTGTCCGTGGTCACTGGAGTCATATAAGGAGATGGTGAAGAGCCTAAAAAAGACGATGCAAGGGCAGCCAAAGTTTGTCTCTGGCGAACCTATAAAATAGTTTATATTTTTTGCTATTGTCTATCTAGGTCGTTGTAAATATTCATATGGAAATTGTATATGGAAGAACTATGGAAATTGTATGAATACAACATTCTATAAGATTGAGTATGGAAAGTGTTGAGGTTTATTCCTTCAACCCGTAGGTCCAACACGAGTTCTAAGGGTTTCGAGTGGAAGAAAGAGTAAGTTAGATGAAGAACAAGCAAGGGAACCCCCAATAATGGGTTTCAGTACACTGATTCGATTATGATGTGAGTTTTCTCGCACTTAAAATAGATCGTAATATAGTGATGTAAGTACAAGTATCGTCTCCACAGGGACAGATAAAAGGGAAATAAGAATTAACTAAATTCAGCGATTAAAACGAAAATAAAATAAAAGCGTCGTGCAAGATTGATTGCTTGAAAATTAACTAATGTGAATGAGCGAATAAAAGTAGATTGGTTTCTCTCTAGATGAGCCTAGGTAATCATTACTAAGTTCTTACCGCTCTGGCGGCGTAGAGTACAATTATTTAGGGGACCAGGCTGATCTCTCATGCGAAAGGATCCTAAATTATTGCCAAAATGAGCGAGCTTACGGTCCCTTAATCGCTACTAATCTCTTAGCGAACGATTAAGTGTGTGTGAATGTGTCCTAAAATAAATTAGATCTCTCTTAACTTATTCTACAAGAAATTATAATTCTAGTGGCCATCTAGGTTACAAGAGATATCAGTTAAATTATTCAAACACAAATTAAAAGGAATTTATGCAAATAAACCATCAAGAAACTAGCCATACATGATGATTAACCCCTTCATCAATCCCAAATCCCTAATTAAACTACTCACAATTCATAATTGAAGAATCAACAGAATTGGGAAGAATAGAATTAATTGTCATTAATTAAACACATGAACTTACAAATAATGTCAGGGTTCTTGAAGAAAACAACGTAAAAACGCAGGTAATTTCGTCCCTAGGCCTCTCTGTGATGTTCGTAACCCCCAAAAAGGGTTAGGAAGGTCTTATTTATAGAAAACAGGGAGTTTAGGGTGAAGTGGGACAAAAAGGGGGTCAAAATCTGCGTTTCAAAGCTGAAATCCACGTCTCGGGTGTACGCACGATAGTGCGTGGCCTGGTACGCACGATCGTGCGTACATGGCAGTAGCTTCACAGTCGTTTCCTCTTCACGCATGATCGTGCGTCCCTCCAGACACGATCATGCGTGGCCTGTTCTTCATCGGTTCTCTGATCCGAATTTGAGAAAATTTTCTTCATTAACGTTGTAGATAATGAAGTCCTCTATCTACCATAACTTGCCGAATGTGATTTGAATCATCCAATAAAAATATATGATCAAAATGGTGGAAGGTCTCATTCTGAAATCGCAACAGGGGGACATCTGACTTCATCGTCTGTTTTCACCTTCTTGGTCTCATATTCTCGTAATGGTGTCTTCATATGATTTGTAGCCCTTGAAGTTGGTTTTCATATCAAACTTGAATCGTGTCCATTTGGGTTATTTCTACAAAGAGATATGCTTGAACGATTGACAGAAGGTCATCCTGATCTTCGTTTTCAAGCTTCATTCATCTTCTTTTTTATCCCATTAGCCAATCCTATAGCTCTTTTGTCATAAAATCTTCATCGTGAATGTAATGCCCGTACTTTTTATCGACTTCTCATGTGCTAATTAATTATATATGCTCCTGTTTTAACTTATCGTTTGAATGCTATATATGTGAAGTATATGGATATCATGTGATTATGATCTTGGTGATAATTGTACTTGAATTATATACTTGAAATATGTTTTATCTTGACAGACGACGGTACCCGATGAGCAACGAAATGATACTGTAATGATCATTTTATTTCGAATGGAATGGTATATCAAGTTAGTTGTCATGTTAGATAGTATTCGGGTGTTTAAAAATATAGTTTAAATGTCATCGGGGGTCAAGGGTGTGATCGGCCAACAATCGGGGTCAGTTTAGGGCAAAAAAGGGAATTTTCGGAACCCGGGGAACCCCGAACCGGTGTCAATTGGACCCGGACCGGCGCCAATTCAAAATAGAACATTATGGCGGCGAAAAGGCAGGGCAACCGGCGCCGGATGGGCCCTGACCGGCGCCGGTCGGGGCGATTTTGGCCAGTCGGTGTAAAACGCATATTTAACGGAGAAAAAACCCCTTTTGATCCCAAATTTCGACCTTGCTCGTCCTTCTCTCTGTAAACCAGCCCCAAAACCTTCTCCAAGTGATTCATGCTCAAAATTAAACATACTTTTCATCAAAGATCATCAATTGGTAAGTTTCTCACTTTACATAGAGTAATTCTTTCATACTTCGGTATTAGTTCTTGTTGTTGGGGATTTCTACATGTATGGTTAAATTTGGGTTGATTCTAAGAAATTAATGGATTTTATGGATGATAGGAGTGTTGTAAAGTGGTTGTTTATCCTTGGTTCAACAATTTTTTAATATATTCTAGAGAAAAAAATCCACTTTTGGTCCCATGACTATTATACCACTTCCACATTTAGTCCCTTACTTTCATATTGTCCACATTTAGCCCGTGACCATTATCCCCTCACCACCCTCGGTCCTTCCAGCCAAAATTCTGGAAAATTTAGTCCACTTCTCAGTCTCAGAATCGGTCATTGCATTTAATTTTGTATCAGGTTGGGTTTTTCATATCAGTCTTTGCATTAAATTATGTTTTTCATACCTAAAATATGCATTAAATTTGCCGAAATTTTGGCCGGAAGGATGAGGGGTGGTGAGGGGATAATGGTAACGGACTAAATGTGGAAAATCTGAAAGTAAGGGACTAAATGCGGAAGTGGTATAATAGTCATGGGGCCAAAAGTGGAATTTTTTCTATTCTAGAATAACTAGTTGTTTCGAAGCTATGCTCGGTTTGATGTAGGAATTCGGGGAAATCTTCTAGTATTTAGGGGCTGGTGTTTAAAGGATACATAGAACTCTTGATGCCATAGTAATTAGTTAATTATTGTTGATTCTTGATTAAGAATTTTAACTGAGTTTTGGTTTTCTAGCTGCCCGAAGATTTGATCGCTTGAGGTGTAGGAGTTTCAGAATTTTATCATGTTTAGGGGCTGATTTTGTAGAATTTCCCTCATCCCTAAGTCTTAGGGTTTGTCTAAAAGCATGAAAGGATGTTCATCAAGTGTAAATATATATATAGTTGCTCATCGAAGAACCGTTCCCCGTGGACGCCTTATACACACACTCAAGGGTTAAAACTTCACGTGAATCAGGTAAGTCATCACCACCTATACATGATAGTTTGAAATGAAATATGGAAGTCTAGCTACCTATGAATTGGATAGTTTTGCTTGAATGCTTGAATTTTTATGGTATGGGATTATGTGAATGCTCTGTTATGTGTATATATTTATAGGTGATGTTGATGGAGAACTTGTTGAGTTATGAATGTAAGGTATCCAAGTTCTATGGTTAATGTTAGGTTGGATTTATATGGACTCCAACAATGAATGAAAGTTGTGATGGTAATGATATCAAATGAATGATAAGAAATGTTCTAAGGTAGTCGTTCCTCCAAGTAATCACCTGTGCTGAACGGAGCGGGATCTCGTTCCGCGGGGAGTCCCGCCCGGGATTACTTCTGATGGCTGTGGGCTAGCTACCCAAGGTCATTAGCGAGGGGTCAGGACACGAGCTACGGGCCCATCAAGTCAAGTAATAAGATAAGAAGAAAGAATGATGAATGAGGAAATCTTTTAGATTTCGTTACATGATGTTGTGTTTTACATGATATGAGTATGTGTGTGAATATGCTATGTGTATGGAGTATTCAAGCTCATGTATCTAATTATGGCTAGCTAAGATTTCCTAAACGTTTTAAGTGGATGAAATGGTGACTTACTAAGCATTATTGCTTACAAGACTTCTATTTTCTCGTATTCTCATGTATAGGTAATGAACGAGGTACGGAAGCCTGAGAGAATGTATGGAGCCGGTGACAAGGTTTTGGATGGGTTAACGGAGAAGATCGGCCTATCAGTTATGTTGTGGTTTAAGTACGTTGGTACTTTAAAGGGTTCTTAAACGTTTTTAAATTCCTGATTAGGTGTAATGGTTTTACAAATGTTTTATTGTGGATGCGTTTCGTTATGGGTGTAAGGTTTGATTTGTTCTAAAATAAATAAAGTCTCATAGCGAGGTTTTTATCTTTATTTCCGCTTGATTTATCGAGTCTCTTTTATGTTTGAGTATCGTAATGGCCGTTTTGGGGACAGTCATTACAGTTTGGTATTAGAGCCCAGGTCCTTCCGTAACTCTATCCATTGCCACACACCGCTCGACATCTCTTAGGTAAGTGAGTAGTTAGAGGCATAGAAGAATAAATATTACTTCATATAGTGAACTAACTACAAATGTTGGATACATATGTGTGATGTGTATTCATTACATTGTGGAGATGTTTCATGAAGTGTTCTAAATCATACGGGTAGGCTAAGCAGCAGGCCTGGATCTAGCAAACGTGTCAAGTATTAATAAGTGTTATTGTGTTAGTCAGGATAAAAATGATATTAAGATGAGATCTAAGCCCTTGAGGTCAAGGCTATTGAAGTCAATTTGCTAAATTTCCGTAGCGAAAAGTGCTTAATAACACTTATCTTAGCCAAATAACATGTTTATGAAAATTTTCGATCATTTGTATAGGTTGATGAGCTTAACAGACCATAACTAAATATTAAACACAGTCCAAGTGGAGAACAACCTTGGCTTCCAATGAGAGTTTAGTATTTATGTAGATAATTGATGGTTATAGCCTAATATGGTAAAATTTTCATGTCATGATATTAAAGGAGAAAATAACAAAACATATGTAGTTGTTACTGATATGATAAAGTTCACGTATCATAATATTAAAGAAAGAAATAATAGACCCACTGTAGTTGTTAAACTGGTCCTCACTTGTATGGTTAAGTCCCCATGGCGTAATATGAAAGAATGAAATAATAAACCCTATGGTGTTGCTTAACTGGTTTGAACCGAGCAGGTAAATTCAGAGCTAGTGGGTTAGTTAAAACCAATAGTATTGGTTTGAACCACATGGTGCGGAACCCTTCAAATTCCGTAGAGAGTC